ATTTCTCGAGCCTGTGCAGAAAGCAGAGCTGTGGGAGGGGCCCAGCAGGCCCCACCCACAAAAGTCTGCCTGCAGAATGCTAGAGGACAGGGCGGATACAAGACCAGTCAACATGCACAAGCAGATTTCTTCTCACTTCCTGTTGTGTCTCTAGGATAGAAAATTAAGGGATATTTCCCCAATGGGACACAGACCCTTCCCTAATCAAAATAAACAAACAAAAAACCATTGTGGCTTTTTAAAAAAATCAGATTTTGCAATTTGATGAATCAGGGTAATTTTTATATAGAACAAACATCTATAATAAATATGTAAATGGGTGTGAAAATAACAAAATAGAATATAAAAACCATTATAAAAACACCAGTAGGCTGAATCTGTTATTGGTCTGGTTGCCTTAGTGACTCAAAACAGCTGTTTAGAAGATAACCCATTAAATGAGAAAAGAATGAGCAGACTAGGTGGATGAATGTAATATTCCCCCATTGTTTATATTTTTCTGTTACAGTGCACTAAAATCAGCCTGCTCTAAAGAATTTTTGAGAACTGCTTACGATGTGAATATAATTATGTTAATACAGGATATAGTTTTATGAGTGTCCTTGGTTAAAGAGAAGGTCTGCTGTCTTTCAGTTTTATGCTGCCTATTAAATTCTAATAAAGTAATTAGAGCTTTGCTCATGATGTGGTTGCAGTGTGTGCATACAGTGGAACAGCATGTGTGCAGGGAAAGGGACCCTCCACAGCCCATCATATATCCTGCACAGCCCACCTTAGAGTCTCTGTGCAAGGTCTATGGTGGGCTCTGTGTGGGTCGCGTCAAAATGCACCTTCGCCTGAGTTGGCAAAAATCCTTGCACCGGCCCTGCATACAGGCTTGGGTACACTACAATACATCAAAGCTGATCATCCTGGATACAAAGTCCCGGAGAAAGGCGAAAGGATGGTTTTATGAATTAATAAATGTAGGCCATTATGTCAGATATCTGATTCTGTCAAGGTGCAAGTACAGAAGAATGCAGTGATTTTATTCCTCTTGGTACAAGGAAGGAGTTAGATTTAAAGACCATTTTCAAGCCATAATGGACATTTGGAAGGTCTCACTAGTGGCGATATCACTTTTATCTGTACTTAGGTCATTAATCTTGGTCATAAGGTTTTCTTTTTTTGGAGGGGTTGTATATTTATGTATTTTGTAGTGTGGTTTAATAAAGTATATTTATTTACATTTTCACCTTATACCATTTCATATTTGTATTCTTTGGAAACTTAATTCATTGTAAACACGCATAACAATTTTGGAATACATGCCCTGACTGTATGATGGGATTTTTTTTAGTATTGTTATTTTATGAAGTTTGCTTTTACCAGTCAATGTAGATTGCCAGTTGCCATCTTTTATTAGACTTTTTACATATATACTGTATTTGCTAAGGTTAGTGGTGACATTAAAACATAGGTAAGTTACTGGTGAGTAAAATCATCTTCAAGCAGAGGTCCAAACTTAATATCCCCTAATGCCCCCTTACATTAGTAATCCCCATCAGAAAGCCACTTACTGTATATTACTTGTCCCCATCAGGGTGCCTGCTTACATTAGTATTCCCCATTTAGAGAGCCCCCTTACATTAGTTACCCCCATCAGAGTGCCCCCTTATATTACTTGTCCCTATTACAGTATCCCCTTGCATTAGTATTCCCCATCAGAGAGCCCCCTACAGTAGTTGTTCCCATTAGAGTACCCCCTTATAATAGTAACTAATGTAAGGGGGCACTCTTAAGGGGACAATTAATTTAAGGGAGCCCCCGATGGGGACAACTAATGTAAGGGCGCACTCTGTTGGAGAAAACAGCTAATGATTAGCTGTACCCATCAGAGTGTTCCTTTACATTGGTTGTCCCCTTTAGTGTGCCTCTTTACATTATTGTCCGCACATACCTTGCGTACCAGTAGAGGGAGGCATAGCAGGCCGCAGGTGAGAATGGAAGACATTACTCTTCTGTCCTTCTGTAATAGTGGACTTGGTAAATGTTGCAGGAGAACATACACTGGTCATGTGGAGCAGATATTTTTGACCATATGCCACTGAAATTACCCTCCAGGATCGCCTAACACATATATACTGTACGTATGTCCATTGTGACTTTTAATATAAATTACACTAGGGTTTTACTGAAGTAAGCTTCTCTCATTTTTCTTCCAACAATAAAAACCAGGCAGAGGTTCTCACATTTAACCAGAAACCACTCCCTTTATAATCCACATTCCTTTAGGGACAAAATTAGGACATATAGTAGGTATGTGTATCAGCACACAATTCTTCTTTAGACTCAAAAGAAAAGGTCCTTCTTCCTTCCTGAAAGGCATCACTTAGGGGAACCATTCTGCCCCCCCATGCTTGTACATCTCCCTTCGTTGTGCCTCCATGTTTTGAGCATAACTGGTGGAAATCTATGGAAAGAAAGAAGCTGAGGACTAGAATATAAAGCTATGCACACCCTACCAAATGTTCCTCTCCTGGCTTTTCAGTGTCTGTATTATTCATCTCTGATCTATACAGCGTGAAACTATAGTTCAATATTAAGAGCCAAGAGTAATCAATATTAGATATTTGTTTCCTTTTTTTTACCATGATGTAAGATCTATTGAAATTGGTTATTTTGAACCCATTTATCTATAGCAATATTAAACAAAGATGAGTCACTCTCTAAACTATTTATCTGCCTGAGTCTCCCTATAAATCTCTTCATGTGCAGCAAGTGTGTGGGTGAGCCGCATGTCTCCGGTGTGTGTCTGTGATTTTATGAGGCTTGATTAACTTGGCAAAAATAGAGATTTGAAGCTCCATATCCTGCAGAATATTAAATGTGCACAGTTTACTCAGACTGTAGATTGTAAAAACAAACAGCTGAGTAACCCCTTCTGTGCCTGGGTATCTGGAAATATTAGTTTATGTTCTTGTATGGTTTTTGATGCCTACACATGCTCCAATATTGTAAGATGAGCTACTAATTAGAGCTTTGCTTGGTATAATCGAGCAAAGTAGAGAACCTTGCAATGCATAATAAAACGTACTTGAATATCAGAAGCACTCCTTAGCTTCTAAAGATATTTTCCCACATGGAAAATGTGAATATCGTCATACATAATGGTGTATCCTTTCAATGCATGACCACTAAGGTTCTTTTTAAAAGTCATGACAGGTCTGGTGTTGTGGTGGGTGCTATCACAATGGCCAGAACTCTTAAATCACATTGCTGTTGACTTTTGTGTGTGAAATTGTGTTTACCTTTTGCAAAAATGTAGGATTTCTTTAGCAAAATGCACTGGAATCAATAGGAGATGACTTTTACTTAAATTTTGAAATGCAAAGTCAGCTTCACCATATTTTCCAGCTCATCTTTACTGTAGAGATAAGGTATCAGCTACACAGGGAGCATAGTTTCCAGTGAGCAGCAGGATAACACATAGACTTACATTGGAGCAGTATGCCCTATCAATGCTAGCTCTACAAAGCAGGAGAGTCAGTCTGTGTGTGTACAAATCCAATAGATTGCCCCATGTACACCTATAATTACAAAGGTTTTAGAATATTCTTGGAGAATTTAATCTCAGACTGCAAAGCATACTTGCACATTATGGCAGACTTACCCCTGGGCTACTCTCCTTCAGCACTGACCGATCCATGCTCGTTGTCACTAATCTGTCTACCACTGCCATCTCCACTGCTTTTTCTAGCTCCAGCATCTTCTGTACTCAGCCATTGGGGGGCCAAGGATAATGTAACTTCTGTATATGCATCTGGCTCCATGCTCTGCATTTTACAGATGCTGGGAGTGGGCCGCAAGTGTGCACTGTATTGTGCATGTGCAATAGGCAAGGAAAAATAATTGAATAGAAGAAAAAAAGTATCTTTTACCAAAGTACTCTACCTGCTTTTTTGTGGGTTTCACTCTAACACTCATGAATAGTTTTATTTAAAATAAGCTCATCAGTTTTACATGTGTATATAGCCAACAATATCATAAAAAGATTATAGATTCCCTTGCCTCCACTTTGCCAACATGGACCTACCATATTGTCATGTCATGTCATGTCTCAGTATTTGATCAATTAGAATTTAACAATAAACTAACTCTGATTTGTTGTTTTGCAGAGCTCTCCTTCCGTGTCTGGATGTGTGGTGGTAGCCTAGAGATTGTACCTTGCAGCCGTGTTGGCCATGTTTTCAGAAAGCGACACCCATATGACTTTCCTGATGGCAATGCTTTAACCTACATCAAGTATGTAGCAACAAATACTGTGTTTCTGAATACTGTAGAAAATGTTCACATTACCTGATAAGTCAGACTAACATTGGTGAAGAACGTATACCAACCGCACTACCAGCTTCTAGAAGAGCATTTACATTTTAGAGGATCTGTGGGTATATGTAGCTCCAGCAGGCTGCTTGGTCTCATGTCCTGTTTAATAAAACTACAAAGTTGACTGTAATGTTTTATATCTTGAAATGGTTCCCAAAATTTTAAAGAATAAAAAGTGCTGTCAGTTCCTAAACATTAACCTCTTCATTGGACTCGGCAAAGCTTGGTTATACACATGTGGGCAAACATGCTATATGTGCCAAGGCTGCTTTATATACCAGGTTTGGCATTATTCTTCTTTGCCAGACAAATATCCAGCAGTGTAGAAATGGTGGTCTTGAGATCGGGTAGTAATAAACAGTACAAATGTTAAATGGACAGTAGGGTATTGCAGACTGTTTGTGTCCAGGTGCGATCGTCCGCATGTAATCGCAACATGTGTAATTACATGCAAATGGTCGCGGGCGGTGCCAGCTGTGTGAATGGAGCTTAATGTCTTTGACACTGAAAGCTGAGAGTAATGATGACAAATATAAGAGATAGCAGTTAAAGATAAGAATGGACCTGAATGATTACAAACATATTGCAAATTATGGAGAAGGTTATTTTTCATTGCAACAGATCCATCCTTAAATGATGTAACCTGCATTAAAAAATGGCACACTGATTACAACACAGATCATTTTGATATATGGAATCCTGTATGACTGAGGTTCATTTAGGTGGCCTCATTTATCAAAATGTGTTTTGTAAGACCTGTCTGCTGCCTCTCAGCAACCAATCAGCTTTAAGCCTGCACTGGAAAGTGACATATCTACAGTAAAAGTCTGAGTCTGCTTTGTTGCTCTGGGGCAACACTGACCTTATGGAAGACATTCTGATCAATGAGGACCCATTGGACAGAGATGAGCAAATCTATCTGCAAGTTGAGATGGACTTGTTAAAGTATATTGAATCTATTTTTTTTAGTTCAGGCATTATATAGTATTCTTACTTGAAGAACCCTGTAATGAGAAAAATATGAACGCTGCCATTGTTAACTGCCATTGTCTCTGAAATCAATACTTTCTCATACATTGACCTGGAATAAGCAGGCTGTTCAGGAAAGTCAACACAGGCAAGTGACTCAGAAAGTTCTAAAGCCACTGAATCACATGACAAGCCAGGGATTTAGTATTTCCATAAACCGGGGTAAGCAATGCAGCCACCTTACGTCCTCAAGACAGGTTTTTTAGGGCCCATTCACACTTATGCATGCATTGAGTGTGTCTATTCATTTTTAGTTGGCCCTTAACATGTATATACAGACCTAAAAGTGCACCTGACTTTCCAGCGCACCACAAGGCAATGCATCTTATTTTTATTTTGTGTTTCAGTTCACTGAAGTCCAGATGCATTTATTTTGTCCTCTGTGAGAACATAAGAGCTAAAATCAGAAAGCAGGAATCCAAATTCTGTATACAGCTGTGGCTCTTTGGTACTTGATGTGCAGCTCTTGGACGACAGCAGTCTGTTGTGGGAGCATTTCTTTGTAAAGGGGTAACAGCAGTGATCTCTACTAGCTTCATGTAACATGTCCCCAACCTCTCATTGAATTCTGCATCTTTTCTCTAACCACCCCTATAGTGTGTCCCCAGTCTCTGGCCATCATTTCCCCTTGGGTTATCTGCAGTCCTTGACAATATTGTCTAGGATGACATACTGCACAAAATGGTGGCCCTTTTGATGTCAGGGGCCTCTTCTGAGGCCACCATACCTCAAAAGGTTAACTGTCTTTATTCAACCTCAAATACTATGTAACTATGTCATTTTAAAGCAAACAGCAAAATAACAATTTGAATATGAATGCAAACTCTTTCTGTTTATATATCATAAAAAGTTGCCCAATTAGTACTTTATCCATTAGCATTACCTCAGGACTTTACCCTGCTGACCATGCACAAGGTCAAGACATACGTGAAGACAATATTTAGTCTTAAAGATAAGCAAAACTAAAGCAAAGAATGCTGACTCAGACTTTTAACAACATGTCTCTTAAGATAGTTCTTATTTGAAGTCTTATCTGCCTCTTGCCCCCAAGGGTTAGCATCGCAATACTTTTGCAATAGTTTTATTCTTGCAATGGGGTGACATGTGATAACAATCAGAATCCCTTCACACTAGTCCTTTTCCCATCATGAATGCAAGCTGGGGTGCCATTCAAAATGACTGGCAATGCACCATATGGTGCATTCTTCTACCGCATGTTAATGCACACATAAATAGGCATGAACGCTCAGTTGTGTTCTAATCCTCTGTAGGTGCGATGAGCCAGTTTGAGAGATTGTTGTTAGAGATCTACAGAATCCAACCAAAGCATCACTCATTTTCAGCTCAATCATCCAGCCATAGTATAAACAACATCATTTTTATATACTGGTTAATTAAAAGACAACTTGATATAATTTATGGATAAATACATCATCATTTCAGGCGACTAGCAGAAGAAGATACATTCTACTGAATTTGGGGTGGGAGAGTAGCATTTTCCAACAAGGTACTGACTTCCAGTCCATTATTATTTCCCCAAATGAAAATAACTTTCACTTTATGATGGTATTTTGGCCCTTTAATTACTGACAAATAATCGAAATCCATATTAAAGTGATTTGTGAACCACAGCACAATTATTTTTGTTTTGTGAAGGCCAACTAGCCTGAAACATCTGTATTGCATTTGGAATAAATGGGTCTATAATATTAGGCAATATCTGTGCTTTAAACCAGAAGTTCTTTGTTGCATAATTTGCCCAGGAAAAAAGGATGATTCGCATGGCTCTAGATATAATTTAAAAAATGAATACTATTTAAAAGTATTTAAAATTACATGTATTTTTTTGGTTTAGTGATGGAAGTAAGTCACACATATACCCTCTATTTTAGGAAGCCTCAACTGTGCTTTACATCTCTTCCTGAATTACTTTGAAAGTGATAGTTGAGTATTCAAATCTTTAATTGGATCGGAATGTTGCAGTCATCTTGTCCTACCTAGGTATTTCTTCCTTGGTATCCCAAGACACATGCACAATAGTTTAAAATATGATGTCATATACACAAATATACAGTATATAAAATGAGAAGACAATGGATTGTTTATTTAAAGGTACAGAATGATCACAGGCAAGCTAAATGAAACAAACCGCACATGAAATATGATCAGCCGCATGTTGTATTATATGACACAGCAAACACAGGTGTACAGAAACATAACCCACAATCTTATGGGGTTTAATGATATCAGTGGGCATGTATGCGAATATTTCTGTATCTATGCAAAGGAAACATAGTGGCTTTGTACATATTTGGTTTCGTTCTTTATAGTGCAGGTCAAGCTAAAAAGGTTTTTTATAGTTTTTTGATAAAGTGAGGATAGTTTTAAAATCCCATCAGGCTTTCTAATGCTATCCAAGATTTACCCTCACTACTGACAATGTTTTAACCAGACAGGAAGTGAGGGAAAATCTGCTGCAGGGACACAGACTGAAATATATATCTAACAGGAAATCTAGCCCTCCCCTAGTCCAGTGGTCCCCCCCCCTCAGCGGGCCACGGTAAAATTATTAAACGTTGACCGGTCCGCGGCGATAAAAAGGTTGGGGAGCACTGCCCCAGTCTACTAAACTAAAGCATTTGTCCTGTATTTCTCTCTGTGTTGCTGTTGGAAAGTTACTCCCACTTCCTGTTTGGTAAAACATTGTCAGCAGGATAGGAAGTGAGGAGAAATCATTCTAACAAAGTCCAGCAATTTAAAGGTGACAGGGGTTCTAATGCTCTCTACTTTATCCAAAATGAAAAATAAAAGTCTGGGTTTGAAACGTATTTTAATATGGCAAGGCCTAAAATAGCATTTCCACAATGTTTTCTTTATCTTTAGTCAGGGAAATATGTCATTGTATACATTAATATTTTGCATTCGGGTGTATATTTTTTTAGAGGATAGAGCTGGTGTTTACAGAGTTCAGTAACTCAAGCTGAAACTTAAGGCCTGGTCCACACCTGGGCGTTTTACAGCGCGTTCCTACGCGCTGTAAAACGCTCAACATGTGAAAACCAATAATTGCCTATGGGCATGGTTCCCACCTGTGCGTTTTACAGCGCTTAGGAACGCGCTGAAAAACGCCCTACGCCCAAAGAAGTACAGGAGCTTCTTTGGGGCATATTTGCCGCGCGTATCCATTAGGGTACAGCCGGATAGCCCTCGCAAATGCGCGTTTGTCGCGCGTTTCTTTTACCGCAAATTGCTGTAAAAAGCGTGGCAAACGCGCATATTCCGTACACCCAGGTGTGAACCCAGCCTAAGTGAATGAGCCTGAGCATTAAATAAACCCTCCTCACCCCACCCCCTTCCTCCGCACAGCTCTATGTGAGGTTTTTAATGAGACAGCTTGCCTAGAAAAGGAGATAACTGTTGCTGTACTTTCTCTTTACACACCCCATAGTGCTCTGGGACTAATTTGTCATGTACTGTATAGATCATTTTAAAATCATATAAACGTAAAACAAATAAACTGACATATAGCCATTTTAGTTTCCTTTTGAAATGAAAAGAGAAATACGTCCAACTTCCTGTCCTTTGACATCACATAACATATTAACCAGCTGTCATTTTTTTCACCTTTCATGAAATATGGCAGCCAACCAAGAACAATAGTCCTTACAGCACATCTTATATAATGTCACATATCCTAGTTCTTGTAGAGGCCTGGGTCATTTTACATACACAGTTGTGATGGCTATTAGCAGCTCTTTCATGTACAGTAGTATTTTCTACAAATGGTCATAAGAGAACAGCGGGGACATAACAGGAATGTTAGTTTTCTGACAAATAGACAGATGTCCATTTTATAATAATAACCTGTAAAGAATAAAGCCATATAAATGTAACAACATGTTATTAATGGCTGTGCTTGCTGCAGAACATTAATTGGCCCAGCTGTTGTAGATTGCAAAACATTTGTTGATCAATCAAATCTGACTTCAACCTTGGGAATAGAGAATTCATAGTGATCTGTTTGCATCGTAATGTGAAAGTGTCGATTGAAATAACATTTTCTGGGACACAGAGGCCCCACATTATGCAGAAAATGCATTTACTCACTATAGGAAAAATGGTTTTATCTCACCTGCTAGCGGTATAAGAAATAATTAAGCAGTTGTTTTTTGTTTGTTTTTTTCAAATTCCGTCAGACAATTTATTTCTTTTAATTACACCATTGTGGTTTTGATAGGACATAAAGTTTAAAAATTAAGTTATAAAAATTGTGGTCTGCTCTTTCAGGAACACCAAACGCACCGCTGAGGTTTGGATGGATGAATACAAGCAGTATTATTATCAGGCACGTCCCTCTGCCATTGGGAAATCGTTTGGGAGGTGAGTTGACCTTACACCTTTGTCTTAATCACAAACCATACAACATTCATGATGTATCAGAACCAAGGCAATGATTAGATAGGCCTTCAGGATTGCATGCGGCTTAAAGGACTTATCCACGCAAAGATAAAACTTCTGACTACCCCCGTACTACAAGGGTTAAGTGTTTCTAGAGGACTCAAATCAACCTGTTTTACTTACCTGATCCTGGCTCCTGCGGTGGTCAGCGCTCACTTCTTCTCCCCACTTCTTCTCCTATGGACCTGCATAAGACATGATGATATTCAGCGGTCTCCAGACTGCCAAAGCGAAGGGGAATAGAGCCTGCGGGGACTGGTCTGGCAGCCTAGACAGAGATGGCGGGAACATGAATCGCATAAGTAAAACAGCTTTGATAGTGCCCCCTAGACATAAACAAGCACCTAACCCTTACAGTACAGGACTAGCCCCACTGCAAGGGTAGTTTTTTTGTTTGCAGATGGGCTTTAAGCTGGTAGATTTGTGAACATTGGAAGATTTCCAAGCTTCCTTTCGTACGGAAAATCACGTCAGAATATTCGATAATGCCATCAGACTTGTTAAATGTAATTGGAAATTTCATTTTGATTGTAACATTCAATTTTGGAATCAATGGAGTTTCTTGAATTCATCCATTTTTTTTCGTCACTATGGTCAAAATCGATCTCTGACTTAACCCCAATAACTATTATAAAATTGAACAAACATTCTGAAAACAAATGTTTTCAAATGAAATTCAACCTGTGTATGGCCAGGTTAAACATTGTCTTTTTAGCCTGCTTGCTTAGACGGATAAGATATAGATAAGGTTTTGGACAACTTTGATTATTTCATTTTCCGATGGTTGTAGCAAAACACATCACATCTATGATCTCTGTGCTTGGTTGTTAAATAAAAAAAAAAAAATTCTCGTTTTAATATTGTTGGTCTTTGTAAATTTGAAATTGTTTATTTGATTCTTTGACTGGACAGTACTGAAAACAAATAAAAAACCATATCGGAAATATGGTAACAAAACTAATTGTTTTTAGGCTATTGTAGATATTGCTATTGTAGACAGGCTATTGTAGATACTCAAGGTCATTATATATTCCTATTGTGTGTGATAGATGGATTCAATTGTCTATCCCCTTATCTAGAAGCAGGGATACCCCAGGAATATAAAGATTATGATACGGTTATGTTCATATGGAAAATATGGCAAGATATGAAAGGGATCATGAATTACTTTTACACCAATATGATCTAACGAGATATATAGTGAAGTGGCCAAATTACAAGGATTTGAAGAGTGGCAATGTAGGGGGATATGTCTTGTGCCACAGCTGTATAATGGACATACTATAAAAACTTATCAAATGTTAATGAGAGTTCCAACTGCCTAAACAACATTTTTATAAATATCTCCAGCTGCGTTATGCAATTGAGGCACAGAATAGGAGCAGATTAATTGTACCAGTAATATCCCCATTGGTGAAGATGATTGCAAAAGCTACAATAAAAAAATGCCTTATTTCTCAAATATATGGAGCAATGGAAACAAATAAAGCAGTTAAATGGAAGTTACCCTGCATTGGGAGGAAGATGTGGGTCCAATAGAGGAGAGGTATTGGCAAATCGCATTAAATAATGTATCTGTCCCTATTCCCCTCTCAGAAATTGACCTGATGTAATATTTCATTATTACATAGTGTGTATTACACCCCGCAAAAACTGGCACAATGGCATAGGAGGGAAAACGAGGAATGCCCAAGATGTAGAGGGGAACCAGCGAACTTGATACATATGTTATGGAGATGCCCAAAGCTTTTTCATTATTGGAAGCCAGTGGTGAACTTAATTAATAATATTTATCAAACTCAAATACCAATAGATCCTGGGATTTGCCTTTTGGGATTGATTGACAAAGAGGTATTTTAAATAGAAACATTTTGTGCTATTTAAGCTAAGACTGTTATTTATGGCAAACAGATCGCATTAAAATGGATATCCCCCCATACACCTACGGTAGAGGAATGGAAAGTGCATAATAATCATGTGTTACCAAGGGAAAGATTGATATATCAACATAAGGGATGTATACAGAAGTTTTATAAAAATCTGGGAACAATAGCTAGAAGCAATGAGATCAAACTTGTCAGATTTCGCAAGAAAATATAAGTTTTGGGGGTTTTTTGTGTAGGAAGTATGGGAGAGGGAATATGTATGAGGTGGGTTATGTATAACAAAAGGAAAGAGTTTCAATAAAGATTAATATAAAATTCAGGAGAAGGGAAGGGAGAAAAGGGGGAAGAAGAAAGGAGGGGCAAGAGAAGGAAGGATGCTACTAGTTATAGAATTTAAAGGGGATTTTTGGTTTTGTGATCACAATCAGACACGTATGATACACCCTTTTTTTTTTTTTAGTAATTATATAATTGTGGATCAATAATAATTTAATATATGAAGGAAATAACATGAAACTGAGGATTAATGATTCACTTTATTGAAAATGTTTGATTAAAAGGCACTTGACTAGTAGTTAATAATGATACTACAGGAAGAGGATTGTTTAAATATGGGTAGTGTTATACATTTTGTTATATTGGATACAAGATTATAAAGACTATTTGAATATTATATATTTTTATGAAGTAGTAGTTTGGGATGACATTTTTGGATTGTGTTGTGGAAAAACCTAATAAAGAATATTAAATGAAAAAAAGAAATGTTTAGTAATGACAATGTACAAACACATACTTCTAGATAACTGCCGGCTTTGTATTCTTTGCATAGCTTATTTTTCTTTTCTTCCCAAGTATTCTCACAGTGGCCATGTTTACTTAGGGCAGATTACTAGCTCTCATTTTACTTCTTAGATTTCTGGCACATGTGACTAGACATGTGATTAGACATGTGACTAGGACATGTGACCATTAACATTATCTCAGGGGAGGAAAATGCCTTTCCCTGAAATCTCATTAAATTACAGATGAGATTTCTCAGCAATGCTCTGCTGATGACAAAACAATCCCAGTGTGCATTGCTTTGACAAACTGAAGTCATTTTGCCTTTTCAGAGCAGGAAGTGAATGCTCTGCAAGTGTAAGTATTTCGAAATCACAGCGTTTTATATCTGACATGTCTATGTTATTATTAATCATGATACATAGGGGGATGCATTGGTGGAATTTGATTTTTGAGTGTAAAGGTCCGCTTTAATCAAATCTATTAAATATGTGTATTAAAAAAACAGCATGGCTCACATCACTCATATTGACTCCTTTTTTATTTATTAATTCTTTATTCCAAAAATTTTTTCAATAATACAAAAAACAAGCAATATCTTTTACAATTAATTTCTTGAATACAACCATACTTACAAAATATTCAAAATATTCACAAATCACAACCTTTCTATCACTCTGTTGAAGAAAATAGGTCACCAGCACTCCATAAGTTAAAATGAATGAGTCCTTTTAATGGACAATGATGTCACAGAAATCCAACATGAGCCGACGTTTCGGGGCCACACAGGGTCCCTTCTTCAAGGCAAGAGATGTGACCGGTCACATCTCTTGCCTTGAAGAAGGGACCCTGTGTGGCCCCGAAACGTCGGCTCATGTTGGATTTCTGTGACATCATTGTCCATTAAAAGGACTCATTCATTTTAACTTATGGAGTGCTGGTGACCTATTTTCTTCAATCTTGTGTTTTGCACGGTGCCATCCGTGAAGTTACTTCGAGCACCATTTATTTGATTGTTGGCCGGGACTGCTGAAAGGTGTGCGGAGGGCACCTCCATCAATTGCATCTTTCTATCACTCTATCATCTCTCTCTCCCTGTGAAACCTCATACTCTACCGAGGGTTCTGAAGGAGGATGGGATTGTTTTCATTTATTCCCCTGGGTATTAATCTATATCTACTCTATAGTGCCACTTCATATTGGGGGGACTAAGGGATCTATTCACGAAGCTGCCAAAGAATCTAGCCATAGCTTCGGCCGGTCCTTTGGCTAACTTTTGGGCGGGTACAATGCCGTGTCAGAATAAAGAAAAAGAAAGAAACAGCAGTATTTCTCTCCTGGGCGGCCGGGAGCGGGAGACTCCCAGAGCAACCAGGAGAGTTTTTTTTTTCTCTTTTATTTGACGGCAACTTTTTTTGACTAGGAAACTATTGGGCGGAGCTAGCTGTCACTGCTAGCTCCGCACAATCGTTTTCTATTTACTTTTTTTAAAACTTTTAAAACTATTTTTCTGTTCTGCTCGGTCCCTCTGAGGGACCGAGCAGAACAGCAGACCCGAATGCCGCTCAGCGGCATTCGGCTATTCACTCACTGCTGTTCGGCATCTATAAGAATAGGCCGAACAGCTGTGAGTAGCCTGCCGAAGGTTCGGCTCAGTCAGGCTGAGTCAAACTCCTTCTGCACTTCGGGTCGGCCGAACATGCTGAGCATGTTCGGCTGACCCGAAGCCATGTGAAGCAAGCCGATGTACGGCTGATTTCAGCCGTACCAGCCTGAAGTGAATAGCCGAACAGTGTTCGGCTCACTTCACTTGGGGTCGGTTGTTCACTCGGCTGCCCTCGGCAGCTTAGTGAATAGACCCGTAAGTGTTCCTATCTCGTTGCATGACCGCCAACAATGTGAATCATTTATAGGATGTATCATATGTAGTTTTTTTGGGACATTATACCACCGTGATAATAGTTTGTAATGTATCTCCTTTGTTCTAACATCAATAGTTGTTATGGTGACTAGGTTCAGTATTTTCCTTTCCTCCTCTTGTGTGATTGTGTGCCTAAGCTCGCTCACCCATTTATCCAGGTATGCAGGTGTCGATCCACTTTCCATTAAATTAATTACTTTAAGAAGAGTGAGAGACAGTGTTGAGGGGCCTGTTTAGATCCCATAATAGATTCAAATGGCGTTACTTCTTGGTCTATTATCAATGGTCTAGGTAGATTATGTACAAAATGCTGTAGTTGATGATACTTCCACCAG